GGACAAGTATTTAATAAAAACAACACCTTTTTTTTCTTAAATAATGTTAAAATATACAATAAAGTAGCAGTTGCTGTACAGGTAAAAAAAAAAAAAGAAAGAAGCGAAAATCTAATTTTAAAATTGGTTTGGCATATTACAGGAACACTCGAAAGGTTCTAAGTATCGGCTGGTGCAAATTTTTATGGTATTTAAATGAATTTTTTCTTTTGAGTACCTGTGATTTAATTTTATATAAAAAATTATTCTAGCAAAGCAAGTTTAATCTTCTCATTCATTTTGAGAATAGACATTTTTTGCCAAGCCGTCTTTATGTCACATATTATAACGCTTACTGCTACAGCAATGTCTCAATCAACTTTAGACAGCATGCGTAATAAATCATTTATAGGTTTCTATAAAACCAAACTATAAAACTGCAGAGCGCTTATTCAAGAAACTTTAAGTTTCCTAACTTTTCTAGTTTTTGCATTGTTTATGTTTTCATAACACACCAAAAAGCAGCAAAATATTGGTGGAAGGCGACACTCGCCTTTTCGGAGGCCCAGCAGCTTTGTTACAATTGCTAAATGTAAATATGGCGATGCGGACACTATTTTTATCTTGCTTTTACTTTGCATATAAGCATAAAAAGTTTACATATATATGCATTTAAACGATAAGAAACTTAATTATTAATACACATATACCTAAAATATTTATTGCAAGTAGAACAGTAAACAAGAAAAAAACGTTAAATTCGGTTGCACCCTGCACGAATACATGATTCCATACAGGAACTTGATTTTGAGCGGTCAGTTTGTATGAAAGCTACATATATGCTATCTATAGTGGTCCGATCTAAACAAGATAGAATATTTTTTCGGAGATTGTATCGTCGCTTTGGACAATAATCAGTGCCTAATTTTTGAAGATATCGCGTCAAATAACAAAATTCCTCTATTATAAACATATTAGGGCGAGTTACTTAAGGTTAGATTAAGGTGTCGATCCTAAGAGGAACCTCACTTGTAAAGCTACTATAACGCCGGTCTATTGTGGTACCTAAAAAATCCCAAATACTGAATCATAAGACTCTTACAAATCGTCAAAGCGCTTTGAGTCCATTACAAATTTGTTGAGACGGCTAATGTCAGTTTCGGCTCTGTCTTCTGGTTCGCCGAATGTAAGTCTACCGATTTGTTTGAGTCTCAGTCTTGTAAAGGCTGGACAATGGAAGAGAAAGTGCCTGGATTATTTCCACCTGATCATTCTCCATACAATTTTGACAACTAACGTGCGACAACAAACCTAACGGCAATGTCCACGGCTGCTTTTTCGACCGCCCTCCACCAAACATATGCACCATAAAACATTATTGGCTTGACTGCGGTTTCGACATCTCGAAATTTTGAATTCGTAATACTCACATATAGAAACTGTAAGTGTACTGAAGAAGAATACAAGTAAAGCTGACGTACAGAAATTCTACATATTGAAAATCCATAAAACAAAATCTGCTACCGAGAATTTCTTTCCAATACACAAAGATGCCATACAGTAGTCAACAATAGGTATAAAGGAAAAACCAATATACTTGTATATGGGTACATAGTGTAATTAACTATGTAGGAAAACAGTGAAAAATGTCGTTGACAATCGGTTTACTCTAATTCTGCATTGTTATGAAAGTTTACTGGCTTCATAATGGTCATTGATTGCCGCATGAAATACTGTGGTCTTTTGCGGTTTTGGCATGCGAACAAACGTTGGAAGGAAATGAAACGTGTAGGGAGGGAACATGTTTTTAATCACAAGAGTGCATCAAAAAATGTGAGCACTGATGTAGTGAAATTACAAAGCAAAGCAAAACAAATAATTGTAATTTTGTGCCAAAGGTCCCGTTTCGAAGCAACACCCACACCACACCCGACAAACACGTCAACAGACAAGCAGATAGACAAATAAACCACTAGAACCACGACTACTCCTCCATGGGGTTCAATATTCCAACTAACAGTTTTATTTTTACTCATAACATACCACGTATGTGTGTCTGTAAAGAGTATGGGGAACGGCGTACCTACCTTATGTGGGCACTCAAACTGATTAGCCCAGCACGATACAATAGTACGTGTGTGCAGTTGTTTGTTTCGAAATTGATTTATATTGCAACAGTAGAGTGAGCGGAAGTGATTTTTGTAAAGCTAGAATAATGACACGGCGTAGGTGTATTGGCTTGGTCATCGGATGACACGTCATTGCTACCTAACAGTCATAAAATGTCAAGCAGCAAATTAGTAAAATAGCAAATAATTCTCGTTTTGTAAACTTTGATGGATTGCCGCTTTGTCACGAGCGTCCAAAATGCTTAATTCAAATCGATTTTTCATAGACATAGAACTCCACTCTGAACTGAGCATTTATGCATAAATGTTTGCACAAACATTCATACATAGTTAATAATATTGTATACAGTTTTATCAATTTTTGTTTAAAACCACTTCCATCACTACGACAACAACGGCAGTAAACAAAAACATGGAAACAATTACGGAAGGGCTAACTTCGGGTGTAACAGAAAATTTTATAATCTCAATTTGGATGGGAAATATTTTCACGGGTTGACAAAACTTTATTTGAAAAAATTTTGAGTGCTAATTCAATATTAATTATGCGCCGAAACCGTCAAGGGATTACAAGCAGATTTGGTATACACTTTGTTTAATTACTTTCTTTGCGTCCGAAGTATTAATATTAAACACAACCTAATTTACTGAAAAGAGAAATGTGATATAAACTGAATCCAAACCCGATTTTATTACCAGTATAAGATGCTCTCTTAAGATAACTTACATATTGATTAGTACGAAGTGTGTTCAAAGGAAATGGTGAATTTTGAATTTTTATGAAAATACTTATTTATTCATCAATATCTATTTTGTTCTCTTCAAAGTAATACCCCTCGCATATACTACACTTATGCCAACGCTTTTTCTAATCTTCGAAGCACTTCTGAAATGCGCTTCTCGGTTTCTTTAGTTTTGGGAATAGGAAAAACTGGCAGGGAGTCAAATCTGGTGGTTGAGGCATGATTACGGCTTTATTTTTGGTCAAAAAAAATCACAAATAAGCATTGATCGACGAGGTTCGAGAATAATTTTTTTCACTGTTTCGATGTTTTTTTCGCTTGTTGACGTGATCGCACCTCCAGGATGCTCATCGTCATCAATAACTTCTCGGCCCTGTGTAAAGCGCTTGTACCACTTATAAACTTTTTTTTGAGAAAAAGTGGACTCATCGAATGCTACCTTGGAGCACTTTATTCCATTTTAATGCAAAATTTAATACATATTCTTTGATCCATTCCTTTCAAAAGTCTAAAATCGAAGACTAACCTTTTTAAAACTCAAAAACAAACTAATAAACGAAATTGGCTCCTAACGCAAGCACATGATAAACAAATGTGTCCGATTATAACAAAAGCCTTATATCGATAATCGTATGTACACATCCCGCGAAAAATCAAAATTCACCATTTCCTTTGAACATACCTCGTATATATGGTATTAAGATAACAAGAACTTTGAAAATCCTTATAATAAGATGGGGGGCATGGGACGCATTGACCCGATTTTAACATATTTTAGCACCAGTCCAGTTACAACGTTTTATCAGAATTTCTTAATTTCTTTTTAAGGGGATATTTTAGTCTATAAATAAAAAAAAATCGATTTTCAAGAATATATCTACAAGATTTTTTATAATTCAAATTATTTTTTGGGATATAGGTATACGCGAAACTTTAAACATGTTTTTCTCGGAGTCCGATTTACCTGAAATGTTTAGAGTCTTCTTTATAGACTTGTCTATATCTGGAACTAGCCATATTCTAAAGATCCTAAATTAATAATTTTTTTTTTCATTTTTGGTTTCAGATTGCTAGGAGGGTTGAAGTCTTGGGTATGGTCACTTGCCAATTTTTTGAAAAACCCCCACCCACTTCACCAGAGGCTAATTCTTGAAATTTTTAATTTTGGTTTTTTACTGTATTCTTGTAATGTTAATAGTTATCTAATAAAAAGACTAAATAAAAGAAATAAGTAATAAAACTGTGTTACTGATGGAAAAAATAATTTAAAATTGCAAAACTCATAATTTTGTAGAAAATTACTGGTTTTTGGTTCCTTTATTTTTATATATCTTAATTTCATTATTAATATTGTTTTTTTTTTTTTTTGTTGGAAACGCTTAACTTAATCGAAAAATTAAAAAGTTCATTTTGTGAAACTGTGAGCTTTCCAATTTAAAATGTTTTTTTAGTGAGTTATTATAAACATAAAAAAAATACAAATTTGCATTAAAATAGTCCACATTAAATCGTTAATATCTCTTTAAGGATAGGTACACAAAAATCGTAATAGACCTTTTTTGAAGAGCATTAAATTTCCTACAAAATCCACAAAACGAAATTTTTTTTCAAGTAGTTAGAGGCGAGATATGAATTTTTCTATCTGATAACAAGAAAATAATAGAAAACCAAATAGAGGTATCTAACCAACCAATTTTTTTAGAAATAATTCGTTTTATTTTTTGACACACCTATACATATATTATATACTTAGAGTTTATCTTTTTCTATTAGTTTTAGGATAGGTGTACCATACAGCCGTTAGGTGTACAAAACTATTATACTCTGCAGCACTATGTTACGAGAGTACAAAAAGCAATTAAAAATTATTTTTTAACTAGAAAAAAAATCCAGTGAAATAGAAATGTCTACAGTAAATATAGCATTGTTAGTCTGGTCATTTACCTTTCGCACGATTTCATGCGAGAATGCATTTTATTTCTCTCTCCCTAATACTCTCTATCTACTCAAAATTTACATGTGGATATGATGCAGAATATATGCATTTTTGTAGGATATGTGAAAACATAGACACAATCTCTGTTTTTAACACATAAAAGCACCTGTTCTCTTCGTCGACAAACAAAAGTATTCACAAAGTCAATAAAATAAATAAAATAATTCCTTTTTTGTTTTGGTATTTATTATTTTATTCAGCGGTATAAATTATCAATTCACACAAAAAAATAAAATAAATAAGCAATGTGAATAAATCAAAACCATATTTAAACTAATCAGTTAGATACATATATATATATACATACATATGTATATGTACGATAGAGAATTTACATTAACGTGAAGAATCTTTGACAAATAAAAAAGTTTTCCACAAAAGGACTTGGATTTGATCGTTCAGTTTGTATTACAGCTATATGCTATTGTTGCTGTCCGATTTCGGTAAAACTCTCTAAACGAACTAAGAGACACAAACAATTATCAACTAATAAGCAAAAGCCCAGGCAATAAACATGAATACATATGGATATAATCCCCAAGATGACGTATGTAAGGCAATAAAAACAAAAACTTTGAGTCATTTCTGGCGTGTGAACGAGTGTGTACCTGTTTAGGTAGACATCTATTCACATTTTTATTTTGATGAATGAAATCATTCAGCTCATAGAAAGCAATTAGGAAATATAAGGATGGCTTAATATTAATATAAAATTACTTAATATACCATATAAACGAAGGTCTTTAATCGGGCACCCAAATAATTCATATTAAATTAAATTGGAATTCGCACAATTTAAATACTAAAGAAATTGTAGATACCTTCTAAAGGATTATTAGTCTTTTCCAGCTAAAATCAAAATAAAAAAATTTCGTAACTGAATATATAATCCTTATTCTGTCATATTTTTAAATTATAAAGGATGTTTATGTACATTAAATCAAATGTAAATTTGGCAGCACTTTTAACCGGGGCATAGACAACCCTGACTTTATTTTACAATTTCTCTCTATGAATTTTCTCTCCCAATATTTTCCTTTTATTTCGAATTAACGGAATGCTGGTATTGTTTTTGTTTTCTTTTTTTATAAGAGTGGCGACGACAATAGCGCTGCAAGGGAATTCACTATTCTGCTACCTATGCACAACAGATTCGAAAAAGTAAACATCTGCCGCTCTGGAGTTGGGCAACTGGGTGAAGACAAAATAAAAACTCATTCGAAATCTTAAAAATTGACAAAGTCGAAGAAAATTGGAACGAACTGAATACAAAAAGTTCATCATAATATCACGAGGTGAAAAATATTGAAATAATAAGCAAGATATTAAATATTAACTTACGGTTCAACAGTAATAATATATAGGCCAACACAGCTCTGCTACTAATTAAAATCTTATGAAGTACTGAGATTTATAAATTTTCTGCTGCGTACGGTCAAACTTTCAGTTCAATCTGTGCATCAGCAAACAGCTGCTTCAGATTGACCTTTAACTCACTCCTCGAGTGCACTTAATCACTTTGAATAGTAGTTTCACTCCAAGAACTATTTGGTTATTATAGCTGTAAGCAATTTGCTAAATTATAAGTGGATTTACAAATGGAAATTCACTATATTTACACGAAGAATCCACTATATTCGTCTGCGTTTGTCAGTTGATAAACTAAATATAAATCTTTCCGTTAGCCCGATTTTTACAAATACAAATAAGGTGGACCGTTGAATGTTTGCAGATGCAGCGGCGTAACAAACTTCGATTTTTCACCAAACAAAAAACTGCCGTTTTTTGCAACGACACACACGCGCGCACCAATGTACACAATATTGGAAAAACCGCAGAGGCGTAGCAATGCAAAATTTCAATCAAGAAAACACGCTATTAGATATTTGTATGTGTTTCAAGCAAATTTTCGACTTATAAATTTTTTACTAGAACTTTTACTTGTTATTGTGTCGTATGGTATTGAATGCAGAGAGTTTTCACAAACAAAAAATAAAGTAAAAATTGTAATTGGACGACCACAAAATTACGTCCATCTTGTATTACTCAGTTTTATTCAATAAATGTATTTCTTGAATTCTGAGCACTGAAACTTGGTCTCACTCCGTTGACAGAGTTGCTCAGATTAAGTGTTCAAATTGTATTTTTTTTGTGGTTTTCGCATAAAATTAATTATGCAAAAATAAATGTATTTACGATATGTGGAAGAAAATCACGGCAATTAATTTAATTAACTATATTTTGTTGTATTGCAAATTTTTAATGGAGAGAGTTTTATTTCAAATATGTCCCCATCGACAATGCCAATTCACAAAAGTTAAATTGGCAGCACTACAGAACATCTAATAGGTATTGCCATTTTACAATGTAAAAAATATGTTTTTAATAAGAATACAAAAATTGAAGTTAAAAGGTCTGTATTAAAATTAAGTTTTTCTTAAAAATCTACTGATAACATTACTTAGTATTGGTAATTAAAATTACGTATTATAGCGGCTCTTTTGTGACGCTTCCAGTTTAGATGCTTAAGCAATACGGCAACATTGGGGGTTACGGGTTAAGGGTAACTTCAAAAAGTGCGATAACTCACCAAATCAATGATATGAAAGGACTTTATAGGAGCCGATATCAAAGTGGGATAATGAGCGTGGCACCGCCCACCATTAGGTGTCTATCCCAGGAGAGGACTTGCTCCACCAATTTTAACTAAATTCGGTACTTGACATTATGCTGACATTCCTATGATATGATGTGAAAATGGGCGAAACGGGTCACAACCACGCTTACTTTCCATATGATTGATTCTTCCACTTTATCGTGTTCAAATTAAGCGCCGAAGCGTCTTTATGATATGCCCAGATACCGAATATGTGAACCTCAATGCCTATGGCTGACTTTATACCGAAAGTATCGGTCAATATGTAAGACATATTATTAAAATTCGGAGAATGTCTCTCCCTGATATGAATATATCCTCATGTCAAAAATGAATTAAAATTGAGACTTTTTCTTGACCCCATATACCTAACCTACTCCTAGCGGACTTTATGTCCCATTTGTCGGTCAGGGTGTGTGACTACGTGACGTTGAGCCGTTTATGTCGGTCAATATATGTATGTATGTGATATTTAAATGTTGTCATAACGTGGTTTAGCGCTGAATATGAATGAAATCTCTCAAATCAAAATTAAAACTTTTTCTTGACCCCATATACCTAACCTACTCCTAGCTCTCATATACTCAATATTTGAATTTCAAACTTCCGCTTGCCTTTATACCGTATATATCGGTCAACATTTAATCTTATCTATCAAAACTAAGCGAATATGTGCAAATATATTATAGTTTAATTTAGAAAATGGGTAAAATTGGTCACCGAATGATTACCGATATTTTAGCGGACTTTATGCCCCATTTGTCGGTCAGAGCGTGTGACTACCTGACGTTGAGCCGTTTATGTCGGCCAATCTATGTATGTATGTGATATTTAAATGTTGTCATAAACATAACGTGGTTTAGCGCTGAATATGAATGAAATCGGTCAAAACTGTGGTGTAAACCTATTATTTCTAATATAATGATTTCCGTTTCACTGGTCGATTATTTCTTCGTATGTATACCCAATATATTAAATCTATCTTTGGTTGATTTTATAACACATATTCGTATATCTCATTTGAGTTAATTAAATTTATTTTAGTATCAACATCTCGGATATAAGGCCAAATATAATATATACATAAGCTTTAATCCTTGCGAGAGAAAAACATTTTTGGCTACACCCGAACTTAGTCTTCCTTACTTGTTTCTTTTATGTTAGGTCTGTAGGTAGAGTAGCTGTCTAACGAAGCACCTAGGCCTATAGCAGGGGCATTGTGATACCACCGGAACTAAAATCCTTTCACTGTATTGTCTCCTCTCTAAACCACCCCGTGCTTCTGATAAAGTTCATCAGTACGAAAATATGTATCTATGCAATCTCGGAGGTGTCGGCAATAAACCCTCGACCGATAATTGTGATCATTTTCTTATATAGAGCCTTGCAGAGATGTTTCCTCCTCTTCTACCTCCTGACAGCTTTTACAATAGTCGTTATGGCGTTCCTAAGTGATTGGCACATCTATTAGTGTTCTTTAATACTTCGTTTTAAATTTTATTAGTCGGCATGTGCGGATCATATTCCATTTCTGCTACCTTTGCTTGCTTGTTGAGGCAGTCAGTGATATACTCCACCGAGACTCAGCTATATTTATAACGTGTTGTCGATTAAATATCTGCAAGTAGCCAGATGTATATAAATTCCTTCTTTTCCGGATTCTAATTGTAATGTAGTGTCTGTTCTCGCTAGTTCATCTGCTTCGCAGTTCTCAGGGATATCACTATGTCCTGGAACCAATTGCAGCTTTATCGTGAAACCTGTTATAAAAGTGTGGAAATTACGAAATTGAAGTGATATAAATTAGCACCTATTAATAGCATTACTTATATGGATATAATAAAAATAAATAACATACCAGCAGTTTCGTAGATATGTGATATGCAAAAGGAAGTATGTTATGGCAAGACCAAACGATCATCTAGATAAGAGCAGCAGTATTCTATTTAATATTTTTATCATAGATTTAAGTAAACTGATAGTATAGTTATGAAACTCAGCAGCGGCACGGAAGTAGACAGTATCTACTACATTAAATCAAAGTTTTGAGGTTTTTAATGTTTTTAATATTTAACAATAAGAATCGCTAGAAAATCTCGAGACTTGCAACTGAAGCAAAGTTATTCCTTAGACTTCTATGCAAGCTACATATTGAAATACATGTTGTTGTTGTTGTTGTTGCTGTAGCGACAGAATTCTGCCGAGTTAATAGTCCTTGGCCGGATAAAAATTCGTTTCCGTTCCGGTTACGTAGACCCGGTTTCGAATGTATGCAGAACATTTTTGTGTAAGGTAATAGAAGAGTTTATTTATTTTATTCTTTTACCGTCTTTCTTAAATAATATAAAATTTTGCAAAAATATTCATAAAAAATATATTTATTGTAAAATGCAATACTTGCGATGCATACACTTGCATCTTTATAAATTTAAACTTTTTAAACATTTCAAAATGGATTAAGAGTCTTCACATGTATTCATGTCTACATATGTATGTACGTGTATATATATGTCTGTTTGTTTGAGTAATATCAAGAAGTTTTTCTTCTAAAAAAAAATGTCTCAAAACTTATTTCCAACCAATACCAGGCTTAGAACCTGGCGCTGGTGCCGGTGTGGGCGCATAGTCCGGTGGCAAGCTGAATCCTAGTACATCTACATTGCCACCACCAGTGGCCGGGGTAGGTGTGGGACCCACAGTAGTATTATTCAAAGATGGTGCAAATGGTGTAGGTGGAGCTGGCGAAGGTGCAGCAGCTGGTGAGGGCATATAATTGTGAGCAGGCATAGAATTGTTATGCTGCGGTGTAGAAGGCATTGGTGCTGCAGGTGCTGGCGCCGGAGCAACATTCGAAGGATAAATACCATTGGATGGTGGTAGTGGTTGATTATTCGGTCCAGTAGCATCAGCTTGTAAGCCAGCATCGCTGAGGAAGATAGGGTAACGTGGACGGAATGTGTTATCTTCAAATTGTTCGCTACGTACATCCTCCTCGAACATAGGTGGTGCTAGTGGCATAAATTAAAAATGGTATATATTCAAGAAATTCGGTGTGGGTGTGTGTATATATAAAATAATGCAAACATACGTAGTGGCTTGTAGACCGGCCCTGAGACAGGTTGTGTTGTGACCGGACCTTGGTCGTTGGCGCTAGCATATAACGGCACAGTGCCGATGGCCAGTGGAAACTCGATTATTAAATCTCCGTGTATGCGCGAAACTTTGGCTATGAATTTCAGAGTATAACTCACTTTAATGAGACTACAGTTCTCCAGTGAAGTGGGCGTGGTTGAGGGAATTTGCAAATATTCATTAAATTCCGCTTTATTGTTTTTAACAACTTCACCACAGTGATTATCAGCAACTTTGACTTCCACAACTTGTCGCTTAGCTTCTGGATTGCGGCTGGTGAAGGTGACTTTCTTCATTAACCGCACCTTTACATCGGAGCAGCGCACATCTGACTGATTATCCAGTACAACGTTAAAACGTATCTTTTGTCCAGGTGCGTAAGCGGAAAACGGCACCTTTACATGCATAACCATTGGACCTTTGCTGCCACAACAAAAACTCCAACAAAATGTCTTCTCTTCGATCTTTTGCAATGCTTTCTAAATTAAGTCAAAGCGAAAGCAATCTTTAGAAATAAAACTCACTGAAATATATATTGTATATCAACACACACCATATGCTCCGGATTGAGGTTCAGATCATATGGTGAGATCACCGTATAGCCTTGTTTGAATTTATTGTCATAACGCATGACACGATCGATCACCAAAGCGACCTCATGCTGCACTTGACCCCACGAACCATTAAACGATGTGGGCGCATTCGGTGGTATAGTCGTCTGAAAGGGAAATGCATACTTGCCGGGCGGCAATTCGATTTGTACACCACCGCTTTGTCCATAAACATGATTCTCACTGCTGTAATACAACTCGGAACCGGAAAACGTTTCGATGGTCTTTTGCGGTTTACCCTCAGTGTCTTGTTTGGTTACATTCTCCGTCCAGCGGGTTTCAGCGTGACCGCAGACGCTGATGTAGATAGCTGGGAATTATAAAAAAAAAAAAAGAATAATAATTTCAAAGCATGTATGTACATACATACGTATGGCAGTACATAACTGTGTAGCATTACTTAATCCACTAATTAATTGTCTAAATTGAATTATTTTGCTCTAATTCACCGCAGCCTTTATATACTGCTACAGAACTACCTAATAAGTCATGTTTGTTATTGTATTTCGGATGTTTGTATATATGCCACTTATCGAGCATCTATCTGGCCATGAGGTCTTTTGTGGCGTATTTATATTTCGACATTGCATTGTTCAACTTGTCTTCTTCCTATTAGATCATGCGTTTTTCGTTTGTAAGTGATGTATTGCTTTTTTTTTGCAAATGCTGGAATGTAGTTTAACGAATTGTGTGACTCGTAGGTCAAATGTAGTAATTGATAGTTCTACTATTTCTTTTTAGTTTGCGGTACATAAATTGATGCGTTTGGACGCGTAGGTGTGTAATTTAGATTGGCCATAAATCGTCAGCCGAATGATAGTTTCGTTATCATTGTCAAAAGCAGTATTTCTAATGATAATTTAGTATAGACTTGGAGAGCTGGAGTGCAGCCAACTTCTACTGGGTACTTGAAATACGTCCAAAAACAGTTCAGTCGTCCGCTATACACCACAGTCCTGTGAAACCATCTACCATATTTAAATGATTTCTTAAATATTTATATTATGAATAACTGTGTCAGATTTGATTCCTTGTTAAGCCATCCAACAAAATTTGACCTTAACTGACAAAAAAAAATAAAAACATTTTCACATATTTTAATACTAATCTTTAAGATCGCCGTCAATACAATCATGTCATCCCTTAATCTAATTTTCGATACACTTTTTATAAGACTCGGCTGGCTTGGCCTTCAGTCCTTCAGCGATTGCTTTTTTTTCAGTTTTCGGTTAGTTTTTTGAGCGCCTTCGTATTCATAAACCCACGTTTCGTCACCAGTAAAGATGCATTTAATGAATATAGGGTCTTCAGGTACGTTGTCAAGCCTTTCGTTTGCGACCTATTCCTATTGTAACGGTAGAACACTGTTGATTTTTATTTAAAGGTTAGAGGACGAACTTTTCCCAAGGTTAACTATTAAAACTTTTGAAACACTTTGTTGCTTGCTATTTCATGGAGCACAAACTTGGTTTAAGTATAACAAGGACGAAATAACTCCTGAATTGACCTAAAGATGTTTTAGTTCGAAAATATCATTCAGGTTAATTTTCAGCTTTTAAAGTTCGTGTCTAGGATTACGATTCGATGTCAGGGATTGATATATCAAATATTTGTGTCATTGTATTCAGTAATGTTTATAATTTCATCATGAAAAGATAAACATAAGAACAACGTTTACAAATTCTTCAATTTTATTATCAAAATAATCGTTCTCCAATTGCAACTTTTCAGCGCTTTCATCTTCTCAGATACGGCTCACTTACATCGGAGTGGTGCGGTAAATAAACAAAACTGTCGATTCTGGTGCGAAGAAAAGCAACAAATTATTCATGAACAAGCATTACATTCACCTAAATTGACAGTTTGGTGTGGTTTTTGGTCTGGTGGAATTGTCGGTCCGTACTTTCATTCGAAATAAAGCTGTTGACACTGTAACTGTCAATGGAGAGCGGTATAGATCGATGATAACCAATTTTTTATGGCCACAATTGGAAGAAGTTGATCTTAACTGCTTTCAACAAAACGGGGCTATGTGCAACACAGCACATGCAACAACCGAATTATTGCGAGACAAGTTTGGAGATTCGATATTTTCAAGAAATTGAGACATTGAATGGCCACCAAGAAGTTATGATTTAACACCATTAGACTACTTCTTGTGGGATTATGTGAAGTCATTGGTGTTTAACAATAAACCAGACTCTCTTCAAACTTTAGAAGTCAATATTAACATACGACTTGATTTAGTGGAGCAAGTACTTTTTAAATCATATCAATCTTATTGGAAAATTCTGTTTGGAGTTCGGGAGTGAGGGTGCTTTTCATCTCTTTCTTTAGTCTACTACTTGTGTACTTCTACTTTGAATTGCTATTCTGAGCGAGTGGGTGGTACTCAGAGCACATTATCAATACGACTGCTTGTGGTTCAGCATCACAGCAAAGAAAGTTGTTGAACTTGCAGCCAGAATATACATATGTTATGTATATATATTATAATATAATATATAGCTATACACACGCACATACATATGTTTGAGTTTATTAGTTATGCATGTGAATGTTTTAAAAATGGTGCAATTATCAGTAATTTGCCAGCTAATAATAAATAGCTATACATATTTCTACATTCACACATACATACATACATACATACATATTTATATTTAATTACCTTTGTATCTCCATCAGCATGTAATCTCATGTAAAAATTACAACCAACATACAGTGTTTCAGTATGTCAGCAATCAATTAAGGTCTGTAGGTATACTAGCAGAGGCAAAGTGTAATTTGAGAGTTAAAAAAAAAAAACAGAAATAATTATAAATATTCAAAACTGGTTTAATGTCTCAGCCTGAGTAATGTGTGTGTGAATGTGATCAATACAAATTTGATTTAAATATATGTATGTATGTATGTAAATTTTTTATTTGGTTTTGTTGTTAGTTCTATTGTTTCGTTAGCGGCGTGTTATATAATGCCGGTAATATCGTTTTTGAGTTCATAATTATTAACCAATATATATGTATCTGTATCTGTATCCATTGTACACCACTGGTAATGGTTCTACGAATTTCCGGTGACGTAATGCGGTATTACAGATAAATACGCTATATGATATATGTATGTATAGGTTTGCAAATGTAAGAGCAAATAAAATTATAACCCCAGTATTGAAGAAGAATGACTTCACTTTTCGGTATAGATACATATATAGATACATACATACACACATTTTTGGTAAAACATTTTATAACTTCAGCAGGGAATTTAATTTATGAAAGCCTAATGGTATAATTGTATGTACATTTACATATGTATATTAGGGTGACCAGTTAGCATCTTTTTCAACTAACTTTCAGTGTGTTTGTATTCATGTCAGCATCATATCTCCGCGGAATGCTTCACATTACACAAGAAAATCTTAAAATTTGGAAATTGCCATGCGGTTGATGTGACTGTGGGTATGTGAAACGTCAGTGAGTTGAGAAGCTCAACATTTCCCCCACGAACACGATACTAAATACGGGACCTGGACTTGCACATCCTTTGGTTTCATCAGAGTGGCTCGATGACCAAAAAAAAATCAAACCGACAACAAGCTCATGGATAACTGGATTAACTAACTTGTAAAATGAAAACAGGTGCTCTTCTCCCAATCTCCCTATAACGTATGTATATGTTTGTTTGACTGAATATCGCTTGCTGTTCGACAAAAGAGGAATATTGTAATTTTTAAACTAAATTCTTATAAATTAAGTTTTCGAAGCATTTCTTGTCAAAAATATACGTGTAAGGTGATTTATCAGTAATTTTACACTTTGCCTGGTTCTGGAACACTTAGATTCCTATAGCGCAGAACTTGAATACAAATTGAAATATCTTATTTAAGACTTTCGTACTTAGGTGGGTTGGTTTTGGAAATCGTTTGAAACAGGTCATTGAAGGCCTATATACAAATCAGTAGTTCGACCAACTTTTCAGCGAAATTTCAATTTTCATAAACAACTGCAATGATTTCAGCCAGGTTTGGTACATAAAATAACCGCTGGAGAGGACTTGATCGCTTAATTCGTATATAACACCATTACATATTTATATCGAATTTCGCTTACTTCACTTTCCAATAGACAACTCAAGCATCAACAAGAATATCAAAACCAATCTTAAAATATCGCTGATAGGGGAAAGTGAAAGTTATCGGTACGAAAATGAGGTTATATTTTCTTCTGGCCTTCAAAAACAAAAATAAAAACTGTTTATCCTTTATTTGACTTTATATCACATACATATGTATATAGAGAATTTCAGAAATTCTAATAAGATTGGGAATAATGTTGTGCACGGCGAACTTCTCCTCCAGTTTATATAGTCATTCAATCTGAAAAATTTCTTCGGAACTTACATCATTGCCCTAAATGAAAAATTTTTTCATACAAGCGCTTGATTTCTATCGATATATGCTATAGTGATCCGATCTGACCCATTTCTTTGGAGATTGCACCGTTGGCTTGGAAAATGGCGCATGCCAAATTTCTTGAAGGCATCTCGTCAAATGTAAAAGCCACGTACTTTATTCTGATCGTTCAGTTTATATTGCAGCTATATACTATAGTAGTCTGATACCGGCGGTTTCGACAAATGAGCAGTGTGAGAAAAGGAGGGTTGCAAAATTTCAGATCGGTATCTGAAAAACTGGGGGACGTCACGTTAATCATTTATGTACATATATACATATATACTTTATAAGATCTTTGACGTTTCTTTTTGGTGTTACAAACATCGTGGAAGTCTTAATTTCCCCTATTCAGGGGGGGTTGAAAACCTGCAAAACTGAAATGTATATATGTACGTATTTATATTGTATATGAAGGTATTTCTAACTTAATATTTTACACCAAAAATATAATAATATTATCACTTAAGTTACTAAGCTCTTATTCAAACAACTTTTAATTGAGATTTCTTCTGGTTATAACGTTCAAAAACTAATTAAATCGTAAAAATTTGATTATACGCACATCTAATCGTTTTCGGCCTTGTTGTTGTTAACTCCGCCACGCCGGAAACCGTTTGGCCGGCATAGTAAACACCCATGGGGTTATTGTCAAATGTTATGATGCACTTGCTAGCCATTTTATTGTTGTCGTTTTCAATTCGCACAAATGGCTTCTTTATTGTTCGGTTCGCCGTTTGATGTGTACAAGTATTTAATATTCAACAGTGTTACTCTCGGTGTCACTCCACTAAAGAGGCGGCTGTGAGGTGTTGAATGAATTTCAAATGACGCAAAATATTGTGGTGATACGAATATTGTTGCTCCAACTGCGCTCGGTGGTGTGTATCAATAGAAGTGTCGTGGGACACAACAAAATGACGATTGGAGTTTAAAACGCACGCCCCAACAATTGCGCTGCCGATTCGTTTTCGCATGCAAAGTTGACACTCGTTCTTTGTTGGGTGCAATGTGGTAAAATGTGGAGCTTTGTTTGTTGTTGCGTGTTTCAAGGTTACATGCCGGCATTTACCGGTGTCGCTCTGTGTTGCGTTATAGTTTGCCTACATACATACATAAATATGTATCTATAAACTTGTATCTTGTTCGAACTCACTCCACCGTACACTGTATTCCTGTTGGCACAAATCAACGCATATAATTTATTATTATTTCTTTTTGTTTTGGCAGTTATTTATAGAACACAGTCAGTATGACATAATTTTGCACGCACGCGACCGAACGACCGACCGACCGGCCCAACATCCAACAACTTTTGAAACTATTCCCGCTTGCTTATTGCTAAACGCGGAAGCGATACAAATCAGTAAAAGCGTCTGCGGGTGTTGGAAGAGGCCTCAGACACCAATACACATAGCTAATGTTTGATATGCTCGTTCAGCATATTCTCTCGTTTGAAACTATCACCTTGGCTGAGCATGTGGAACTGTGCTCCATTAAACGCGTCTATTCGTTAGCAACTTCAATTCCGAACTGAATTAAATAAATAAATATAACAAAGCCGTAACGTTCACAGACTCGGCGGAAAGACTCAACTTTTACTTACGTTAATATGTGTTACTGGTGGAGCCCTGCGCATAAGAACTGAACAAAGATACCAATGTACTTATGCGACTATATATGATATACTTATATTTATGTATATAAGGTATAGCCTGTTGGAAAGTGGTACTTGCATTAAATAAATGAGTGGACTCGCAATTTAAAGGAGTTTCCCAATAGTTTTCAGAACGGCTAACGAACTTTATAAGAAATACACTAGCGGATTTTATAACGTCGTCGAGAGACTACCACTTTTAGAGAAACCTGGACGTTTTGAACGAGTGAACCGAATTGTGGGTTCTAAATTAGTGCGACTGCACCTATATCTTGACTTTCGCAAATTTTTCGAAATCATTTGGTAAATTTTCATAAAGTTTTGTTGAATTTTAACTGAAATTAATAAATATGTGGGGCTGTTGCCGACACTTTTGGTACCCACAAATTAACTTAGATTAATGTTTTTGGGTATGTTATTCATTCCCTTCCAGTCTCTATTCTTATTAGAACTTGAAATAGATTCTTTAAATGGAATAACGCGACGCATCCGTGATTCATCTTTCCATAAAAAATACACTAATTGAGTACCAAAATTTTCGTAATTCATTTGGCCATGATCCCAATTTAAAAGAGAAATCGTGAAACCATAGATAATATGACCTAAGTACAAAAATGTTGAATTCTACTTGGATGGACATTGGCTGTTTGGACTAACTGATTAGTACACAAAAAAAAAAAAAAAAAATTGGGTTTTCTCCGTGCTTTTGCATTCAATACCTTCATTTCCTCCAAAACTCCACAATTTGAATTTGGTTTATGCAACGTTTTTTATATAAAACTATACGCTCTCAACTCGTCCATGCTGTCACGCAGCATCTCGTTCTTTGGTTCACCATTATTGACGGTACATATGTATGTATGTATATATAAGTGATTCCTCCAGAGTCGTTAGCTGTATTCTCCTCCGGTATATAATTAAAAAGCTTAGAAAAAATTATACACAGATTTTGTAAGAGATAGCTGGTTAAAGTTTGTTATTGATTGATTAGTTAAAAAAATGTTTAGTTTATATACTTTGTAATAGTTTGTTCCTTTAGAAATTTTCTACAGGGGTTCAATATAATTACTTGAGTTTGCGTTGGAGATTTGAGAAACGCTTGAAGACAAGTTTTCATATAAAACCACACTCACGTCTTAATGACAAACACGCACAGGGTTTTTGTTGTTGTTGTTGGGCAGCATTTAAAGTTTATATTGCTTTTTGTAGTTTATATTTATTATCGGGTAGTATGGTTAGTAGTTTTGTTTACCGGCGATAGCTATAAAGAATAGTAATTTGCGACTATAGAGAGTCTATCATAGATGGTCTCACGCGTTAAATCCAGTTTTATATGTAGAAAACAAAAATCTGCATAATGCTAGAAATGTGATTAATAATATTTAAGCCAACTGTATGCATATATGTATTATATGTATGTATACGACCTTATACATATATATTCGTATGTGTGTGCGTAAACTTAAATGAAGTTTTGAAGTTTGCTACCTGAAAACATACAATTTTAGGTAACTAACATGTTTATACTTTTTAAATGTGACACTCATTGATTCAAAGAAAAAGTAGATATATTTATGTACTTATGTATGTTCTTGTGCACATAGAGGTCTATATGTGCTATGTAGTTATTTTCCTTTATACTTAGTACTAATGTAGTAATACTTAATACTTAGTAATAATTCACTCCGGAGTGAATTAGGGACACATAACAACCAAAAACGAGAAAAATTGCTTATTTATTTAAATTTCTTATAAGTTACAGTTAAAAAACTAGATTATCATCCTCACAACTCCTCCCTCTAACAAAATTTTTGGTTTCCCTGAATAGATTTAATTTTGTTTACAGCAATAGATGATAATGACCGTTAATCATATAGCAAATATCACAATAATTTTAAGGTTATAACGACAATTATAGTTCAAAAAATTTGCACTAAAATTCACTAAAAAACAAAATCACTGAATAAACAACAGCTTATTTATTCAATTAGTGGAAGGCAAGCGGAGAAATAAAGCGAACTATTTTATTTATTAAAAAAAAAACAGTAGAGCAGAACGTATGCTTAATTAGACGACAAATATGATTTCTCCGGTGAAGACCCCGATTATTTAATTCTGGACGCTGCAGTTGCTTCTGTTAGTATTGGAGCAATTCACAATAGTATTAAAAATGTATTTTGTGTTAGCAATGATCGTTCACACAAATGATCGTTGATTCCAGTAAATACATTTTTTTTATTATGTAGGGCAAGAAAAAAGCGAATTTTTACAAAGAAAAAAACAGTAGAAAGTTATTTTATTAATAATTTAATATTCATGCATTCTCTCGCATTCGTTTGGATGAAAATAGAGGGACGGCAACACTGTCTCACAGCTGTTCCAATTAGCAATTTCAAAATATTATTCATCTCTCTTGCACACACACTTTGAATAGCGGTAATACATAGTAAAAGGAGGAATGGTATTGTTTTATATTTGCAGAGAAAATTATGAATGCGGGAGTGTTTCTTTTCGTGGATAAATTCTTTTAGCGGGCGGCCCCAGTGCAATACCTGGCGAACTGAAAGTATTGTATGTAATAAGTTAGCATTAAAGAGTAATTGTGGGGAGGGAGTAAAAAGGTGTGGAGCAGAATCGAATGAGCGCCGAAAAGAACAGAGCAAAAACTTCTACATTGGCGAAGACTTTTGCATTTTGCTTTTAAAACTCTTGCACTGGAAGAACAATAAAAATTGCACAAAGTGCATTCGGTAAATTGTGTAGAACAAGGAAGTTTAATCGTTGAATTGTATGCGAACAAATCTTTATGAAAATACTAATAAAACGATTGGCATTTTGAGCAGATGAAATCTTCTATAGGCAAGCGGTACGAGAACTTAATCTAGTGTGCGTATGTGGAGAAAGTGGTGTTGGAGCGGGTGTACGTACCATTATTTTTGTGTGGTGTTAGTGTCAAAGTGTTTATTTTTGGATAAAATATAAATATAATAAAAAAAAAAAATAAACGAACATGTCAAATACCAAAAGCATTAACTTAGCCTTGTTCGAGATTTAACTAGTAAGAGGGAAACGCAAGCCAACGAACTCATGAAGTGAATTGAACCAACAAATATCACAATCGAATTTTAGTGAATTTCATGAAATTTAAATAGGCATTTTTCTGAAATAAAAGGCTCTCCCAAGTGTGCAAAGAAGTAGTAAAGCTGCAATGGCAACAGAGAAGTTACGCATAACGTTAAATAATCCGGAAAAAGTATATTCTGCGGGCGAAACAATAAAAGGCGAAATATGTTTGAATCTAACCAAGCGCACAAAAATACGTGGTAAGTGCATGATTATAAAGTATTATTTATTTTAATTTATCTTGGTACACTTCTAAATCCTTATGTACATATGTATGTATGAATGTACATATATATTTTTAAATGGGTCTCAATACATTTTTGAACTAATTTCTTTGATTATTTTGCATTCCACATAGAACTACACACATGCATACATACATATGCACATGCATATGCATAAATTTCAACACACACGTTATCCAAACAAAAGAACTTTACTGCAATGGTCCAAGCTCTGTACGAAAACCTGAATCATCAGCATTTATATACCATTATGTATTTGACTCAGAGTTCTTTAAACATTTTTTTAAAGCTTCTTCTGTTTATCCGATGAGTGCATTGTATTTTCTGAGCTAAATTGCCTACTTACCAAGTGCAGCGATAATGGCTAAAAATTGTAAATTTTTGATCGTACAATTATTAAGTTTGTATTTTAATTTAGAACTAAACATGTAATGTTTTTGAACGTAATTTGTCTAAAACTACTCTGTTTGAATTTATAGTTACTACACATACATACGCATGTACTTTCGTAAATATATTTGTATATTTGTTAGATTCCTTATTTTATTTGTTATTTTCTCATCAGAAATGTCATTCATAACTCTCCCTGCTTAGTGGGATTGTATACTTTTTGTTTTGATTTCACCGTGAATGTGCGCTGTGGCTAAGAAGAAGCATTCATCAGGTGTTTGTTTTTGTTGTTTTGTAATAGCCAACCTACACCCTACATATTTCGGGTATATAATATAGGTGCGCTTTGAACATTTCGTTCAAGAAACGGAAGTAAAAAATGTAGGTCATTTCTATATTTATTTATTTTCTTCTGTATAAGCGATAATGTAGAGTTTAACGGCTACATAATAATCATTATGTAGCTTCAGTATTAGCCAGCATTTCTTGAAATATTGATTATCGTTTAAAATTTAGATCTTAATAATGTGTAGATTGTCAGCTTAGCTGTGCCCTTATAACTATATTCACGTTAGTTCTCGATTCGACTACCAATAATGTATACTAGTTATTATTAGTTCAAAGTCTGAACCTTAGCAGAACCATAATTCACCATCCGCAGGTAGCATGCGATATACACGAACAAATGGAACACTCCGGTCTCGCGGTCTGGATTTTCAGATGGTAGAATGAACGAATATTTATCGTTTTAATACGACTCCATTAAATTTTTTTAAGTTAGGAAAGACTCACATAAAAAACCAGAATATATTTAATCTTAATCTCAAATATACTAGTAGCACAAATCAATTCATCACACTACTCTAATTGTTTTTTTTACAACTGTTATATCAGTTTACGTCACGAATGTTTAGCTGAGTTATTAATAAATAATTTCTACATGTTTTTGTACTTTACTTTATCTATGTATTCAATTGAAATTCTCTATTAATAAATAAACACGCATTATTTCAATGTTATTTTCAATGTTAATCGTTTGCTTTCAAAAATATCGAAAATAAATTGATTATAGATAACACAAATTGAGTAGCTACTTTCATGTATGTATATATATACATATTTATGAATAACTAATATATACACACCACTCATTTATTTAGAGAATTGTTAGATAGAGGACCAAATCCATTAATTTTCCGAAAATGGTATGAAAATACAAAATCTCTTGGCAAGTCTGAAGTTGGCCTTGGCTCAGATAAAAAAAACCTTTAATTCTTAAATGATACAACTTTTTATATCCTGAGCCTATCCTTAATACACCCTAAGTTTGCTAAGACGCTTGTAGCACGCATAAGGAAACGCCGGAGACCCTATATATTGTAGTATACCATAATTATAAATGATCAGCGTGACGAGCTGAGTTGATTTAGCCATGTTCGTCTGTCTGTATATACGCGAAATAGTTCCTTATATTAGTTTTTGAAGTATCAATTTTAAATTTTGCACACGTACTTTTCTTCCCAAGAAGCTGTTCAGGTCAGATCACTATAGCATATAATTGCCATTCAAACTGACCGATCAAAGATTGTTTACATTCAATTATTCAGGGGTGTTGTGAAGTCCAATACAGATTTGGTTAGTTGTCAGAATTTCAAACCAATTATGATTTTCAATGGTGTCACAGAATCTGATTGTATTTTTGTCTTTTCGAACATACGCAAAACCAATATTCGAATCAGCTCAGTTGCGTAATGTGAAAAAACTTGCAAATTAATAAATTTGGAAGCAGTTTTATTGAAGTTTACAATGAGCTGCACACTTTTATCTTTGATTTTATTGGAAGAAGAAAGCAACTAAAAGATTAAAAAAATTTATTTTTTGAGATCACTGTAATCCACTTGGATGTCCAAGGTAGTATTATCAGAGAATGTAAATGAATATTCATTCTAAATTATTCATTCTGAATATTCATTTACATTCTCTGGTAGTATTATCCCATGTGTAAGTGCGCCTAAAAGCTCACTATTTTTAACTAAACTAAAATGATAGAATTATTCCTAGGCCAATTTCTCTTATGTAAAACTAATCGATGCTACCGGAAAAGGAAATTAAATTTATGCTGCTATTATTTCCCCCATCACTGTTTCTAGTATGCTTATATGGCATCTGTTTTTTTTTTTATCTTTTTGCAGTTGCAATAATGAACCCAAAAGCCGGTGATATCAACTGTTTACATTATCCAACGCAAAAATTACTGAACTTTATACTTATGTACATATACATATGTATTTATGCATGTATGTATACATTGCATAAACACATATATTGTTATTAGTGTATATTATTGCATTAACTTTGTTATCACCTCTAAGCCTAATCGTATTTAAACCCAATCCAACTCAAATGTATAGCATTTGGTTATCAGAAAATCTACAAATTATTTATAATATGCTTTATATCTCTATATATAATACTTGTGCGAAATAGCAACACTTAACACATATTGGAAGTTAGACGCGGTCATGATTTCTTGCAATGAACGTGAACGCAACAACTGAAGCCTTATCAGCGCCTAAGCTAAAATCATTAGGCAGATGTTATTAGAAATTTGCTTTCAACGCCTATTGTGGCTTTATTCAATAATATGTGCTTTAATATACGAGGGTGGTTTGATAAGTTTGGAAACAAAAAGCAAAAGATAGCAATTCATAGTCACGGTGCAGTTGTAAGCCGGTGCAATGTCATGGTAGAAGTTCACGTCGCCATCGTTCGGTGAGACTGGGTACTTATCGCTCCGCCTACGTAAATTAAATAGTGTAGTGTGACAGCTGTTAACTAGAAAATTAATTTCTTTAACAACCGTTAAGTGCCAGTTAAAGCATGACAGATAATTATTGAAGCAAATAAAAATTTTTGCATATAAACATTTTTATTATATTTTTTAGAGCACAAGTACATTTCGTTTTCTTCAAATTATTGTTCTGTTAGCGTTCATAATTTCTAATCACACGAAAAACGTATACACATACTACAAAGTAGTTACAAAAAAATAGTATTAACCAAAAAAAAAAATCAATAATATTTCCAATAATACATATGTAAATATGTAAAGCTACACTAGTGATCGGCGCCTAAAGAGCAGCAAAAAACTAGTAAATACATATATATATATATTGAGCATACTTAAATGTATGTATGTATTAATGAATGTATATATCGTTAATTAACGTTTACAATTATTGTTCTTGGTTCCAACACGTTTTTAAGTAAAGTGGCTTTTGTGCATCCCCACAAGCACACAACTACAATACTCGCATAAACATATCCTTAACATTTTTTGTAACGTCTCACAGCCTCAAACCCTCTTTGCAACTGCTGACTTCGTCTTCTGCAATAGGAATTTCTCCACCTGCGGCCATATTTCAGCGGTAGTGCGTCCCTTAAAGTTAGTGATCAGTTCTTGTTTCTGATAATAGTCAAACACTGGCCGCAACATCTCCTCGTAAACTTGCAAACGACGCGCCACCACATCGGGTTTATCGTCGTCCCGTTGCACCAAATCCTCGCCGGTCACATCGTCTTTACCCGGCACTTTGGGATCATTGAAGCCCACATTATAAACGCGTCCGGATGGCAAATGAATCCAACGTCCCTTTACACGTTCTATGATCACATCGTGTGGCACTTCTAAATTAATAACCGCATGTAACGGTTCACTGGCGCTCAAACGTTCAGCTTGCGCCAGCGTACGTGGAAATCCATCGAGCATCCACGATTTGTTGCCCACCTCGGTAATGCGACTGAGCACACATTTCATGACAATATCATCTGGCACCAGTTTGCCCTCATCCATGAATTTTTTCGCCTTCTTACCCAGCTCGGTATTGTGCAACACATTCAGTCGCAACATGTCGCCAGGTGAAATGTGTACGAAACCGAATTTATCAACAATACGTTTCGAAATAGTACCTTTACCTGAGGCAGGCGCACCAAGCATCACCATACGGAAGACTTTAGTTAGCATATTCGATTTGTGCTTACTGTTAATATTTTATTGGATTAAGTTGTGCGTGTCCACGCAAATAGCCGGTCCAAATGGTAATGTGTTTGAATTGCCGCACCGTGAGCAACTGAAAGTAGAAATCATAACTGATAAGCTTTGGGCAAAAATATATTCTATGTTTATTTGTATGTTTGTAAGTGTGCAGATTCATACTCTTGTGTGTTCTAACACATTTGAATGATTTGAGCAGCGCTAAGTGGGTTGAACGGGCGCACACATATTATATATAATATATAATATATATATGGACACTTGTATGTACACGTTTTGTCGTAAACCTAATTATTTATTTGCTTATGATTTTTTCCTACTTAGCTATAAACTAATAGGAAAAGTCAATTGTAGGTTAAAAAAATATCTTCTATCTTTAGATTTTACTTTCTTTTATAGATAAAAAACATGTTTAATAGAGTAAGAAAAAGTTGTAAAAATTCAGCAGCCACGCGCATTCGTTTTCGCACAGTGTGTTGTGACAAACTCCATAGATGAAAGTCCTTAAAATAGTAAGCAGGCTTCGCTACATCGCCGGCTGCGATCTCTGCTTTCGTTTAATATCACAAATGGGTTTATACGCCGAAAAGTTTAAGTTTAAAAATTTGTTTTTATCTACCGGATGGAAAAATAAAAAATAAAAATTTTAATCTTAAACATATAATTAAGAATTAGAAAACAATTTTGCTTTAGAATTAACATTTTCCGCGTTACTCAATTAAAAAAGTAATATTTTAAAATTTAAAATTTTTTTCCCAAACATTTTATATTAAAAATGAAAATTTAATTTTTATCCCAACATCGGGATTAAAAAGGAAAATCTAAGTTTTAATCGTAACGTCGGCATTAATTTTTAATCCATTTTTGAATTAAAATATACGCAACCCTAATGTAGATACATACATATATTTGTGAAAATACTCCGAAGTTTTCGGAGCGTATTTGTAAGCATTTTTTAGCTTGGTGTAATCAACCGCCAAAACTTTAAGCACGTTTTTTACTAAACGCTGTTTTCCGAGTCGGTGCGGAAATGGCTGGATCGATCGACTTTAAATTTTTACACGTCCTTCTTAAATACTATATTTGTCAGGTAATGATTCAAGCAATCTGATTTTTGATAATAATTTAAAATTTTTAAGCCACTCTAAACTGTAAAGTCGCCATTTTGTCAGAATTCAAAATTTCGACAAGTACTTCGATCAGTACATGTATTGTTCTATAGTAATAAACAATTTTTTTACTTCGGGGTTTGAGAAAATTCTAAGCAGAAAATACATACTCACCACCAGACATCTTTTTTCGAAATATCGGTTATATGGGAATTCAAAATTTATCAAACTAAATACATTAAATGTCAACTTTTTTTCAGAGACCGTAATCATTATAAGTTTTACGATTTTCTTCACCAATTATAATTAATTTTGTTTAATATTATAATAAATCGTAAATAATTATTATTTTTGAGCAAAAAGAATAAAACTCACAACTAATGAATATATATGATTTTTATTTAATTTTTGTTCGAAATAAAGCTTACTTTTGTTTTATGAAAAGTTTTGCTAACCGTGTTGCATGCGCTTTTAGTACAAAGTACATCTTTCTTTTCTCTTTTGTGAATAACACAAAAATTTGGTAAGAAATTTTTATTTCGATGAGCTCGTTGCCGCTACACCCGTATTTGACGACAGAAACTAATTTTTGAGTAACTTTCATGTTTTGCATCCGAATCCGATAATGCAATTTGCTGTACTCATGCAAATCAGGACATATATCCTGTGTGTGATTTTTCAAGGCCCTAGTTTAATGCGTAGCTCTTGATATTATTTTTACTAATTTTCGGAGGGAAGATGATTTGTTATAAAAGAACATGCAACGTAGTTAGCAAAAACCTATATAAGAAACTTGTAATCTAAAAATTAGTTTTAATTTGAGCAAAAAAACAAAAATCAATATCACAAAGAATCATTATTTATGATTTTTTTTGTTTTGCTCAAAAATAATAATTGCATATCAATTCTTATTTTTTTTCTCAATTATGATATATTATAATATTTATCAAAATTAATCGTTATCGGTGAAGGAAATTATAAAAATACGAATTAAAACAATCATCACCGAAATGCTGAGATCGTCGAAAAAGGATTAACGTGTCATTATCCGTTTTTTTTTTGTATGTCGATTGTAAGTAATTGAATTTTTCATTAAAAAATCGCAACAATAATCATTATTTGCGGTCTCTGTTTTTTTTTTACAACAAACGCCTTTTTATAAAAAATTATCACAAAAAAGAACGCGTTTTTTCTGACTTGCATTTGACCTCTTAATAAAATACCAAATTCTAACACACTAGTTGTTCAATTTCACCACACTGTAAATTTTTATTGTTTACTTGTCAAGCTTTGCTGTCACTCTTATCATTTTTATTTTATTTTTGTAATCAACGCGTTTTGAATGCATTTTAGGCGTTTGTGATAAAAAGAACTATTTAGATATTGTCCATAAGTTAAAGTTTAACACAGGTATACAAGTTCAGTACATCAAAGAGTACCTATATAATTTAAAATGATTGTATCAAACATAATTTAATAAAAACAAGAACAAAGATTAACTTCGATTGCAAAGCTATTCTTCACAAATATAAAAGATTCCATACAAGAACTTGATTCCGATTCTTCAGTTTATATGGCAGCTATACGCTATAGTGGTCCAATATCGGCGGTTTTGACAAATGAGCAGCTTCTTAGGGAAAAAATTTCAGATCGATAACTCAAAATCTGCAGGATTAGTACGCGTATACCATATACAGACAGACAGACATGTCTAAATCGATTCAGTTCGTAACGCTGATCATTTATATATGTATGTATATACTTTATAGGGTCTTCTACGTTTCCTTCGAAATGTTGCAAAACTTTGTAGCAAACTTAATATACCCTGTTCAGGGTATTAGATTGCGCACATACAACAAATTGTGTTCAGCCGCTAGAAAATAGAATAGTATTCAAAACGCGTATCTGCATAAATTATAAACTAAATTGACGCTGAGACCGCACACGTTCGCTTGCTCAAAGTCCAAATCGCTTTATATAAACAAGTTCAGCCTGAACTGGAAGCATCTACAACGGCAAAAGTACTATAACTAGAACCAGAGCCATAGTCAACAGCCACTGGTCGTACTTTTTAGCAGTAGTGGGAAACGTGTGCACTAAAAGTTTATAAGCGCCATTGCGCATTCAATATCAATTTATATTAATAGTTCGTAATTGGCATACGTTCTTTCACGTAATTAAATTATTATATTTATGTTTATAACGTTCACACTGTGCAAATTTGTATGCAAGCAAGGAAATATTGTGATTCGCTTCTACACACTGCACTTATATAAATTTCGCAATTATTCACAATTTTTCTTGTTTAGTTGTTGCACTTTCGACAGACACATACGAATTGTTCTTGGGTTTCATAATCTTGCAGAATACAAATATTTCCCTAGTTGTCCACGATTTCTGCAAATCGAAAGCTCTGCTCGTCTTGCATTTCATACAAAGTAATTACAGCTATTGTTTGCTTATCGACTTCACAATTACATATTTACATACTTATATAAACACAAAAATATATTCACACTAAATTACTTTAGCTATACGCTCCGACGTTCCTACGCTCCTGCCACTTTTGTTGTACAAATCCTTTCTGCACGCCTTAATTTCTCGCCAACTTATTTTTCCAATAAGCGCTCTTGTCGATTTGCTTCCTCGCACATCCAGCGGCCGGCCATTGACTGATTATAGCGTTCTAGGCAGCCATGCAATTGAGTTGCGCTATTTAGTAAGAAATTTGGCATTTGTCAATAAATGTGTTCGTATGTGCACACGTTAGTTTGTTGCTTGTCGCCCACATTATTGGGGCTTGGTGGCTCTCTGTTGACATTGTTATTGTGCTTTGATAACTTGTGTTTACTCGCAAATGCGTAGATGCCTCTCTTCGTAAACTTTCTACACTCCCTTCCAGGTGTTTATTGTGAACCACACAGTTGGTCAGTATTTAGCTTTGGATGAGGTTTTTTTTTATTAGCAGAGCTCATAGGGCGAATGAAATGGTATTTGCTTATCTTTATATTTTTTAAATATGCGTAAAACTTTATGCTATGTTCAGTTTTCTTAAGAAAAATTTCATTTCATCATAGTATCCTAATAGATAGTTGGTGCAATGGACGACTTCCGCTTGGAGCACAACTGTCAAATATTGACATTGAATAAAGGCTGATTATACAAAAAATATTTGTTAAATATTTTATTTAACAAATATTTTTAACTTCGTTTTACATAAATCATTGTACGATTACATGCAGCCATCGTGTTTTTATTATTGGCATTACTTTCGTCAAATAACCGGTTGTCTTTGGATTTTGGCTCTGAATGCCCAAGAAGCTGTTCATAGGGGCACTACAGCACATATCTTCACGGAATTTGGTAAGAATTATTATCCACGGAGCGGCATAATCTCTGAAGAAATTGTTCAGATCGGACCACTATAACTTATAGTTGTCATGCAAACTAACCGATCAAAATCAAGTTCTTTTGTATTTGTGAAAGGTATTATAGCTTCGATGCAACAGAAGTTAACGTTTTTCAGATTGAAATGCATCAAAAACAAAAAATATTTATTTATGAAATTGGCACGCTTTAGAACTAATTAGCTAATGGTTGAGATTAGTTAGCACATATGTATGTAGGAATGAGTGTGGCAATTTTAGCACATTTATGCTATTTTTGCTGCTTGGGAAAACAAATTTGAATAGAAAATGAATAATGTATCGAAAATTGAATTTAATTTGTTGTATAAATAGTAACTATTGCACATTGTGGTATTAAAAATTCTGCTCAATATTTTTATTTGTGAACTATTGTATAAATATATATATACCAGGTGCACCGGTATGAAATGAAATGCACCATTTTTATTTGCGAAAATGAAATACTAATTTTGCATGGGAAAGTGAAGAAAATTTATTCAAAATATTGACCATTGTTTTTTTTTAACATTTTGACCACCTTGCTGGCAATTTGTGGATACCATGCCAACAGAAATGTACTTCTTATGAAGCAAACCAATCAGACACCGAATTTTCGTCTTCTGCGTAGGAATCGAAGTGCTGCTTAGCTAATGCCTGTCACATCGATGAAAGCAAATGGTAATCAGAAGGTGCCAGGTCTGGTGAATACGGCATGTGGGGTAGCAGCTCCCAGCCAACTACTTTGATTGTAATCTGAACCGATTTTGCTTCGTGTGCAGGTGCATTGTCGTGTTACAAAATTACTTTGCCATGTCTTTTGGCCCATTCTGCGCGTTTATCGATCAATGCATGGTTTAAATTGATCATTTGTCGTCTGTAACGATTAGTTTTAACAGTTTCATCAGATTTTAGAAGTTTTTGACATACCACACGCTTCTAATCCTACCAAACACAGAGCATTGCCTTACCGAATCGATCTGTTTTTGCAGTCGATGTTGATGGTTGTCCCGGATTACTCCAAATTTTATCCGTTTAGGTTTATTAAAATATATCAATTTTTCATCGCCAGTAACAATTCGTTGCAAAACTGAGTTTCTTTCGTGTCTTTGAAGCAAAATTTCACAAGTGTTTTTTCGGTTTTTCATTTTCTTTCATGCTATGCATGTGGCACCCATTAGCCACACTTTTGGATCTTTCTCATAGCTTTCAAACGGACTGAAATTATTTACAACACTTAACATGGTTGTCATTTGCTTTTGACTCAAAGTAACATCTTCATCCAATATTGCATGCAGTTCGGCGTCTTCAAACTTGTTTGGTGGTCTTCCACGTTCTTAATTTTTTACATCAAAATCGTTATCTCTGAACCGTTGAAACTATCTTTTGCATGTTGCTTCTGTTAGAGCATGATCACCATTTGCCTCGACAAGCATTCGATGCGACTTTGCAGCACTTTTCTTCAAAACTTCATCCTTGACTGTAAGGTTATTCAATATGTTTAACTGATGTTGATGACCAAACCGAAAAAAATTAAGGCTCGTTCACAACACATGTTCCCTACCAACACATTTGTATCTTAATGCTCACATATACCTGGTATATAAGGTGCGCGTCAAATTATTATTCAGGGGCGTTGTATAATCTGATAATTGTCGGAATCAGCATTGAAACCGATAAAAAAAAAATGTAGGTGTCATGAATTAAGATATTATTGGTTTGACGTTCGAAACAAAAATGGTAGCGGTTTTAGGTATCGCGGAAATTAATTTGATCGGTTTTGTTATCAGAAACAAAGCAAGAGGATAGTCGTTGACAGATTTAAAATGTAAGTTAAAAAATTAATTTAAATTATTTTTACGACTTAATTTATCTTTATTTCTATAGGGGAAAATATAGTATTAAAAAACAAAATGTCATAATCAGATATTTTAAAAGGATTAACGAAATTTAATGCGTCTTTATTCAGTCGTCTTTTGCGACTTTTTTCAAATGCGTCTTTATTCAGTCGATAATGTGATATAAATCTGTAAAGTAAGCATGTATACAAACATACAAGCAAATGCAAGCCAAATTTCACATGCGATTCCCCTGGTGCATCAAGTGGATTACTGTGATCTTTTAATATCTTCTTTCTTTTAATTTTTTCTTCCAATAAAATAAAAGCTAAACTAGCGGAACTCATTGTAAACTTTAGACGACCTAATTCAGTATTTCAAATTTATCAAACGCTTCCAAATTTGTTCATTTGCAAGTTTTATCACAAAAGTAAACATCTAATTCGAATATTGGGTTTGCATATGTTCGAAAAGATGTAAATCCAATCAGATTCTGTGAGACCATTGAAAATCAGAATTGGTTTGCAATTTTGACAACTACGCAAATCTGTTTTGGAATCTGCAACACCCCTGATTATATTAAATTCCCATATGGTCTATATGGTTAGACAAGAAATTACTTGAATTTCGAGTGCGTTGCGATTAGAATGAATAGGAGCAAACTCTCGAATACATATGTATGTCCAAAGGCGAACAAATGTTGTTGCTGTTTAAAGTACGAGTTAGAGTGGAGGGCACAATAGATCACAGGTCGAAATGCAAACCACGCTTTTGTTCTAATTTAATCTTAATGAAGCATTTATTCGTATCTTTCCATTTTTGGAGGATCCAAATTCATAATTTTTGGGCTTCTTTACAGCAATTAGGAAATACAAACTAGCATTTAAATGATACGCCATAATTTTTTTGATATTTATAGTTATTTATACTTTATTTTATTCCGCTTTATGTAAATTCCACAATACTTTTTATGATGAATTATGTATAAAATAAGAGGAAAGGAACGCGGGAGAACATTAAGCTAATTGTATGATAGGAAACTACGAACATGCATTTTAAATATGCTTTATGTATTTATGTATGTATTTATATATATATATATATATATATATATATCTTTATTAAGCGCTACATTTATATTATAAGACTTGCTTAAAACTGTCCTGCTGTGGGCTTTTTTAATATGTCCTTATCCCGTTGTATGATTTCCTGCTTTCGCTCCTTTTGTGCCTTATTGATAATTTCGTCAATTTCCTCTATTGAAGGGCCATCATCTACTTTAATTGTTTCACTTCCTTCTTCATATTTGTCGTGTAGCCAACGTCCATTCGAATCTCGTTCTTCGACAGCATCTTCACGTCGCCATACACGATTTCCAAACGCACCACCGCGTGCTGCTCCTCTTCCGCCACGCCTTGGCCATGACTTACCTGGCTTGGAGTTAACATGATGCGGTGGTGATGGTCTAACATCTCTACTAACGGTACGCTCATAATCACGTCTACCGCAAGGAGATTCACGCCGGCTACGCACCGTACGCGAACGAGATCGTGTGCGACCTGGAGTACGAGAACGAGAACGGCGATAAGGTGACCACGAGCGTGATGAGCGTCTGCTACGTGAAACACGGCGGCGCCCACCAGCGTACGTAATGGAATTTGAACGTGAACGTCGACGATTCCAACGACCACCCGAACGTGAACGGTAGCGACTGCGACTAAGACTACGGCTGCGACTTCGGGTGTATCGAGGACGTTCTCGTGATCGTGTACGTGAATGTGAACGGGAACGAGATGAAGGACTTCGCTGTGCCAATGGTGTAGCGACGCGTAGCAATCCAAATTTATCAACTTTAACGGGCCGTTTGATTTGAAATGAAAATTTCGTGCGCTCGTTAGATGAAGCTGCTGCAGCAGCGGCGGCGGCCGAAGTACTTGGATAGGATGCATAATACGATGAAGAAGCGGAATAGTTGGATGTTGAGTGTTTTGGTAAACGCATTGAAGGTGCACGCGGCGGCGTTTCAGAACGTTTGCGTTCCGTCATGCCAGCTTCTATGGATTGCACTAACTCGTGCTGACGTTTTTTAATATCGGCGATAGTTTTTTCATACTTTTGCAAATTTTCAGTGAGTTTATTTTCGATGTTCATGCTGCTGATTGCTCTGGTTTTTGATTTCACAATAGATAATTAAATGACTCGGAAAATAAAATAGAATGAAACTTACTTGTAAGCTTCCTGGAAATTAATCTTACTCAAAATATTGGCAGCATTTTTTTCTTTGCGACTAACTTTTTTCGTCTTTTTACTCTTTTTCTTTTTTATTTTCTTTTTTTCCTTCTTGTGTTTCGATGCTTCCTGCAATAATTTCCGCACACGTGAGCCGGTGTCGTCGTCATCCAGCTGAAAATATGAATGCCATTGTTAAAAGGCGTTACGATTGTTGACAAAATGTGTTGCCTTACCCGAAATTCATTAATATGCGTTGTGTCGGCTGGCATGGAGTCAGGCGGCACATTATATGCTGTCATGTAAAATGGTTGATTCAGTTGTTTCTTGGACTCCTCCTCCTTTTGTAGGCTGGCCACATGCAAAGCCATGCGCTTACTTAGCGGTGACAATGAACCATCCTTTCCAATATCCTCGTTATCTGAAATGTGAGCGCAGCGGAAGTATTTTTAAACAATTGCTAAATGCTTTTTTTTCTGTTCAACACATTATTGCCCTTTAGAATATATCCAAAAATATTTCAACATTAAATAACCGGCTAAATAAAAGAGAAATAAAAAAAAAACGGTTACTTAAATTTTGTTCAATTGATAATCTTACCTGTGTGCTCAGTTTCCGAACCGCTATCACTGGACGTTGAGTCATCGTCACTTGAAGAATTTGGTACTGAATTTTTTTCCTTTTCTAAAGTGTCTTCTTCTTCACCTTTACATACACAACAAACAAATCAAACACGCTTATACATAAATATTTTCCGAATTAGTAGAAAACTAAAAGTGATTTCGCTACCTTGCAAATGTGCTAAATTGTCAAAATATTGACTACCGGAACGCTGTTGTATTGCTTCAAGCGATAATCGCGCTTGCTCATGATTCGGTATAATATTTAAACAATCTTGGTATGCTTTGGTTGCATCTTTTATGCGATTTTCATCCTCATAGCGACGCCCAAGCGCCACCAGAGTCTCGCCCATATATTTACGCGCATTTACATGATAAGTATTAAGTTTAAGAGCTTTCTCGAAATCATCAACGGCTTTGAGAAATGAGCCCTTGTTGGCGTAAAGTGCACCACGCGCGACCAGGCCTTCTACATTACGCGGATCAATGGTAAGGGCTTTGTTAAGACATTGGAAAGCTTCAACGTGATTTCCATTCTTGAAATGTTCAATGCCTTCGGCAACCGAGCTGGTTTATACGTTTGAGAATATTATTATTATAATATTTGTTTTGATTTGTATTAAATTTATAACGACAGGCTAAAATGAAAAGGAAAATATTAAATAATGTGCCCAACGAAAAGCACTCACCGAAAAGCCCATTTGCTTGCTTGTGTGCGGCGCAATTCCTTGGCATATTCGTCCCGCGGAAATGGATGTTTCAATGAAGTCATGAAAGTGTAGGTTTCATTCACATCTAAGCCATTGATTTCATAAAGCATATCATAGTTCGGATTCAAGAATTCCTTAGACTTAAGCATGTAATCCTCATATTTTTCCAACTTGTTCTCATCAATATTTCTTTAGTATTAAGCGCACATGGCGAAAAAATCTTATTTAAAACTTAGTGTTCGTTTAGGTGAGAAGTTTAAGAGAAATAGCAGAATTTAAGGTTTACTCTGAAGCGAATTGTTTGTTTTTTGTAATTTCCAAACTTTTAGTAATTTGTTCTATAATCTGCTGCTTCTTTTTTACTTCTAGTTATATATCATTCTAATTTGTACATACCGATAGTATTTTGGCAAATCTGCATACGTTATAACACCAAGTGCGATATTTTTATTTTTTTCATTCATACTTTCCAAAGTCAAGTAAATGCGTTCTGCATCTACAGATGTTTCCAATACTTCGCAACGAACATAATCGTTTTTATTGAAAACTCGCGGTTTATCATTGCTATCCAATTCGTTTTTTGTTAAATAAGCCTAGATATTGGAAAAAAGTATAAACAAGGAATTTATTTAGTGGAATATTTATATATATATACTAATGGAAGCGATTTACCTTGATTGGTAAGTCATTCAAGTAGCGTACCATAGGCTCGCCCATGCACAGAGTTTTGACCATGTTAGTGGTAAGTTTTGTTACCATGCAATATATAATATCGCCTGGGTTAATGTTTTTCAATATGCAACGACAACGTTTTTGCTTGTCCTTATTCCTATTGACGAAAAGTTCGTACGGTGGTAGCGAAGCTATATACTGTTCATCTATAATAGAAATTATAAAATGAGTCGTTTTATCAATTTTCAAAAACTCTAATAAATACACATATATGTATAAAAAAATGCATTTTTATATCCTGAACAGGGTATACTTAGTTTGTCACGAAGTTTTCAACATTCAGAAGGAAACGTCTGAGACCCTATGCAAGGTATATATAAATGATGAGCATGATGTTCTGAGTCGATTTAGGTATATCTGTATATACTGTTTTGCTTACGTCTTTTTCACCATATGTACAAACTGATCGATCAAAATCCAGTCCTTGTATAGAAAACTTTTGTACTTGGAGAGATATATTCAAGAAATTTGGCACGAATTATTTCCCAAAGCAAGATCGGACTACTATAGCTTATAGCTGCCATAAAAACTGACCGATCAAAATCAAAATCAAACAATTTTTATACCCTAATATGCTAAATGTACCTGGGAAGGGTATTTTAACCTTCGGTACAACATAAGTTAATGTTTTTTCTTGCTTTAACTGCAAGATCTATACTTTGCTAGCAGTGTCTTCATAATTTAAGTTGTTTCCACCAACTTATAGTGTAAACTTACTTTCAATAATTTTATTTGGCTCCACCTCCGCACTAGTCAGCTCCTTATCGTACAAATCTAGCGCTTTACGTGCAAAAAATTGATGCAGCTTTAAGCGCTTAGCACGATCTTGAAATGTAAAATATTTCTGCCTTTCCAGGTAGATGGTGTAGTCAGGATGAGCAGGTACACCGCACTGTTGTATGTCTCCGGCGCCGCGTTCGTCATCCCAAATTTTTTGCATTGGTTGACCGTGGAAACTCAAAGCACGCAAAATGTAATTCGTATTCATTTTGTATACACTATATTATAACGATTTTTCTTATAATCCAATATTGCACTTTAAACAAAACTTATTTCAAACAAGTAAAATTGACACAATTAAATTTGCACGAAACGAAAAAACGCGTTAAGGTGAATTTTGGTCCTCTTTAAGTACAAGTGTACATACAAAGAGTATCCATTAAATTAACATACATATATAAATACAGGTACCTGTAATATCAAATTAAATTTATAATAATACAATGATGTGCGCTTCTATAGTTCCTAATTGCTTAAATGATGGCGTTGAAAAATATCGTATAGTTAAATCTTGCAGTTTCCACTTTTGCATGCCCACTCCTTGTGGGCAATTGCTTTTACCTGTCCGGTATAAACCACAATAAATTGAATTTACCGAATAACTTTTGGTGGATTCAAGTTTCTACTAAGCAGAATCTACATACAAAACACCGAAAGTTTAGAAAATCTCAAATTCATTTACCACAAAAAATTGTGAGAAATATTTTTTTCGCTTGAAGGGGCTGTTGAGGCAAAATGACAGAGGCTTGTTCAGTGATGCGTCACAGTAGTGTGCTATTGTGAATGAAATTCGGAATCTGTGATTTAATGCGAACGAACAAAAAATGCATACGAACACTGTGCGGTTAGACTTTGTTCGTTCAGCGCTTAAATAGCTGTTACTATGATTGGTTAAATTTAATTTTTAAATGTAGAAACACACATATGTATGTACATGAATGCGTTTGCATATATTTAGATATATTTTAACTAACTGTTTAATTAGTTAATATAATTTTATTTATAATATGCGACTACTTATATGAACTAAAAAACTTTAATGTATATGTATTTTTTTCCAAATTAGTATTTTATTAAATAAAATTTTATATATTTATAAAAGTTAAACGAAGTTGTTATTGAAAGTATTTAACATAACTTTTTAGAGTTTTTTATCTTTTTTTTCACATGCGTTTAAATAGATATACATACATACCTATGTATGTACCATAGCTGTCATATACTTAAACTGATCGATAAAAATCCAGATTAAGATATTTTTACACCTTTTTACGCGTAAATAGATAGAAATGCGCCTGTGAAGGGTATTATAGCTTCGTTGCAGCCGAAGTTAACATTTTTTCTTGTTTTTTTTTACTTTCAGCTATAAAAGTACAAATTACAGGAAAAGGCAAATGCAAATGGATTGAAATATTACGTAAAAATTCTAACAATGAATCAGCGCGAAGTCTCTTCTACTCTAGCAAAGAAATATACGCACACAATGAGCACACACTGCCCGTCTTCGAGCCGCGCGGCATTGAGTTGAATCCTGGTGAACATAATTTCGAATTTACTGTACCACTCGAATATAATCTACCATCTAGCTTTAAAGGTAGCTACGGGTCAATAAAGTATAAATTGCGTATAGTCATTCAAAGGCCATGGACTTTCGATGAACGTCACATTATACCGCTAACTGTGCTGAAGCATATGCCGTTGTCGCCGTGTTATCGTTCGAATCCAACTTCATTGGAAAAACAAATTACCAAAACGATTAGTCTATTTGGTACACGGCCCATAACAATGCTGGCATTGTTGCCGGAAGATTCAGCGGTGCGCGGTGAACCTTTGCGCATTTGTGTCACTGTCACCAATAACAGTACGACAAATGTGGAAAAACTACGATTCAGTGTGCTACAGTATATCTGGTATTACAGTCATGTACCGTTACGTGTGCAAAAAATGGAATGTGTACCACTAGTCAATAAAGAGACAGGTGCAGTGCATAAGAAGAGTGAACGTTCCTTTGCGCATGAGCTAATGATACCGCCTACGACGCAACCGTCCGATGATGAACTAAGCGGGGTTATAAATATATCGTATGAATTACGCGTGGAAGCGGTGCTGCGTGGCTTTTTCAAGAATCTCGTACTTAATTTACCCTTTAAGATGTACTCGAGTGGCGCTAGCTCTGTGCTTAATAATCTATCTGGTGGTCCACCGAGACCGCCACCTCGATATGGCAATCGTAATAGTGTTAACATTGGTATGGTAACGAATGTCACAATGAATGGTGCAGGCAATCCATTTGAGAATAGCGCTACCCCATTAAGTATTGCAACCTATCCTTCACTTGATTCATCCATCGGCTCACCATCGCACTCCTCACAATATAGCGAATACAGTTCCTTACGTTCAGTTAATTCCGATTCTTCGGCGGCAAGTCCCGCTTTAGCGGGAGATATTTCATATGTATCTGGCACATCCTCCAACTCTTCTACGACGACATTAAGTCCCGCTTTGGCTGGTGATCTGTCATATGCATCTTGCGCATCGCCACAATTCAATAGTCCTTCGGCGCGTGCTAGTCTGCGCAGTTCAACGGTGCCCTATGTTATGTATCCGCCGAGTAGTAGTCCACTCATGATTAACTCTTATCCGCCAGCACAAGTGCCAACATATCCGTCACTATCGGAATCACCTGGTTATTCCTTGATGCGTTTAGCCGAAGATGTATTACCTCCACCACCCATAACACCGCCCTCAGGGTCAGTAGTGGGCGCACTGGCGCGCCAGGAATCCTCCACATCAGCCACAACGGCAGCAGCGCGTTCGTCATTTTTACATGGAATACAGCCGCCAGGAGCGCATGAACTGCGTAAGTACAGAGATAATATTTGTTGTTGTTTAAAGTAAAACAAATATTTATTGTATTTTATATTTCGCTCTGTGTGAGCAAATTTTCTTAATATATCATAACATAAAAATCGCTATGTTCGTTAATAATCCAACTTTTTTCCAGCACCATCTTATGAAGAACTCTTCGGCTCCGCCACTGCACCACCTGAAACACCGAAATGATACTGCGACTACTTCCAGATATAAAATACTTTAACTAATAATTCACTCAACACCACTACGGCGCCAAAAGTTACTAGACCCACCCAGGATTGAGTAGAGTATGGACTTGCAAGGCACTGCTCGTGTTCTAAATGAAGAATCATTAACATTTCACTAAATCTTAAAAAAAAAAAATTAGACTGGTTTATTCATTTTGGTCGCTATATTTATAGAAACACGAACATACTCGTATATATATATATATAAATATATATGTACATATGTATAGTACTCAGTGTTACCAAATTAGTTTCTACTTTGTTTATATAGAATATAAATAAATAAAAATTAATTTGTATGTACGACTTGATGCTAGCACTTAAGGCAAAGCCACGATAGTTTTAGGGCATATACCACTGACTAAGCAATGCTTTTTATACAATATTAAAGCGCGATAAAATTTCATTTTTTAGGGCTTGAAGCTTGATATCGTAGTGTTTAGTCAGTAAGTTAACTATGCGACAAAAGTGTCCTGCATACTTACATAAATTATGCAATGTTTAATATAATTCTTAAAACCATTAAATATTATGTTGAAGGCAAATTTGATATTGATAAAAAACATGTTAAATTAAAATTAGAGTTAAAATTTAAAGCAAAATTGTTACAAATTATATGTGTACATTAAGGTTTCCGTTATTTCCAAAGTGGATTGTCATTTTGCAAACGCCCACTGAAGTTTCAGTTTTTGCTCTAAAAATAACGTTTCAACATAAACAAGCTTTTTATTTTCAATTTAAATCGTGCCTGCAACAACTGACCTGAGCATTCATACAAGTCATTTAAACATTTTACGTTGCTAATACGACATGGTATACTATATAATAACATACAGTACATTTGATGCATAACTTTAACTGTGTATAACTTTTAAAGGAATATTTTTATGAAATAGACGCGATTTAAATTGAAAATAAAGAGCTTGTTTACATTGGATGCGTTTTTTAGCGCCGTTTGCAAGAAAAAATCCACTAGATAAAATAACGGACACCACAAACTACATTGACATTGGAAAATGTAAGCCAGAAATAAACCACATTGATAAATAATAATAATTAGCTATTATTAAATAAAAATAATTAATTACTTTACTAAATATGTACTTTAAATAGCACAAATATGCAACCGGCGTGCACGAAAATAAAACGAAACTAAAATTCCTACGCAAAATCAAACTTAAATGTTAAGCCAATAAATATAACACTATATATATATATAACTATAAATAGACATTTTTTTACAAAAAATACACAATTACATGCTTTTGCAGATATGAAAAATACGCTGCTAGCAAATTGCTTCGCTTTGAAAGTCGGAATTAATTTTATGTGAGCAAAAATATTACTGCTAAACGCTTGCAACTAAAGTAAATATTTAACAGCGTTGTAAGAAAGTCAAATAGCCACTATAGTTGTACGACAAAAAACCTGTTAAGCGGAAAATTTCACACAGTTACACAATTACGCTCAAATGTGTATTTAATTATTAGAACATTATTGTGCTTAATTTTTTGTTAAGAACAGGTTTTCTGCTATAAATACTACAAACGAATATTATCTTTTATATATACTTACGTATGTATGTACATATATATATGAAATTATTATATAATCAAAACAAAACGAAATCATTAAAATGTAATGTTTTAATTTGAAACTTTGTTTTGTTAAACTAATTACAATTAATATTTTTTTAGATTAAGTTGGCGCGAAAATATTGAACATTTTTTTTATTTCTGTTTGTTTTTTGTGATAACATGACAATGAAAATTTTTCTGGTTTGAGCTGCCTACCGCTGAATTTGTAAAAAAAATAACATTATATTCATTAGGCTGATTTCTTGTTTGTAGCTTTTTTTTTACACACATTTTTATTCCTAAGGCAGCTTGATGCGGGCTCTTTGCCATTAGACTTAAATACAGCATTCAAAGGAAACTTACTCCACCCTAATGTACATACTTACATATGAACATACTTATAATATGCAAGTAAAGTGGCTTTTAATTTACGTTTTTAAGCTATTTTTTTTACAATTCACACCTAATTACAATAAAAGCTGTGAACTAAAGTTTAATTTTCTCCATGAAGTAAAGCTTGAAAATCTTCATCAAATCATGTTCGGTTCATTGTCTTGCTAAAAGTTTGATGTCACTAAAATAAGTATAACATAAACATTTATACCAAAACAACAATAAAAACCAATTGGTTTCAGTAATACTAAGATAATACCCTTCCAAAGTGTGTTCTACTTCATATTAAATGTCTAACTGTAGTGTTTTAGCAATACTACTCAAACTTTCTATTATTTCTTAGTGAAATTTATATATTTCTCCTGTTTAAGCATTTATAAAATATACTTAATCACATACGTATAACAAATGAGAGTATATGAAAGCAGAAACTTAACCTTAAACCATACAACTGCCGTTACTTCCAAATCTAACGCAATTATTTAGTTTAGCTTTGGCAATATAACAACATATTTTAGTCTTGCCGTTAAAAGAAAGCAATTTGAGTGCAAAAATTATAAAATTATGAAAATATGGTTTAAGGGATTTTTGTTTTCAACTGCAATTGCTGGTGAAAGCAGTTGTAAATATTGTGCCCGTATAATGTTGAACAAATATTGATAATTGAAATAAAACTAAATTTAGTTTTACCTAAGTTATTTGTGTAAAAAACGAATAAAAATATTAAATATTTTTTTTTTGTATAAAATATTCGGTTTTGTGTATTTCCATTTAAATATTTGAACTCATTTCATTCGAAAACACATTTCTAGCTGATAATTTGAAAATTTTTATAATTTTTATTCGTATTTATTTGTAAAAATCGCATTTCAGAGCAGCAGATAGCTTTCTTCTGTACAAAAATACAAACATTAAATAATTAAAATTTCTAAAAATATTTCTAAAGATATTTAAAATATACTATATATTATATTTTATTTATATTATTATTTATTCCTATTAAAATTTTTCTTGCTGAATGAATTTTATATAGGTGTGTTTAAAATCTTTTTAAAGGACTGTTTATTTGCTTTATGGCCAGTGTTGCAAAGAAAAACTGCTTAAAAAAATTTAATAGCTTCCAACCAAAATAAGAATAAAATATAACAATAAACTTAATATAAAATATTACAATAAATACATAATAGTTACGAGTTTAACAAATAAAAACGAACTGTTTAGAAATAAAAAAATATATTAATGTTTAAACTCAGAAAAAAGTTCACAAATACAACACACATTTAAATTTAAAATTTGTATTGTTTATAAAAAATATTATCACAATTAATAACAAAAAATAAATAAAATAATGAAATAAATAAACAATAGCTTAATATTTATTAATGAGCAACAATTAAATCTGATTGAAAACAATATAAACAAAAAATTCTAGTGGTCTGTTTGTTTTTTTAATTGTAACACAAAATTATAATAATAAAAAGAAATAATAATAATTAAAAATCAATGAAAAATCCAAATATAATTTCTGTTAAATTTTTTTTATTTTAAAATTCTAACATATTTATAAAAAATTGCATAACCTTATATTTTAGTAATAACAAGTGAAGTCTAGTGTGAAGCATGACAAAAACCAGTTATTATTCCAAAAATATCAATGCCAGAATTTCGCCGAAAATTACTTTAAAATATGTAAAAACTTTTTTGCGTTAATTAAGAAAATATTGCTATGGTTGTGACTTCAAATGATTTATATTAAAAACAAGTTAGTGGTTGAAATTTACCGAAAATAAAATAAAAAATTATTACGAATTTTAGTTTTTTGTATCGAAAATGCGCCTACAACAACGCATTTACTACTATAAAACTGTAATTCTTAAAACGTTTGAAGCTCCAAAATCTGTTTGCAATAAATTGTAAATTTATAAAAAAAAATTCTAAATAACTGTTTACGCAAATAGAATTTAATACAATTTAATTTATACGAAATATCAAGCTAAGCGAACTATATGCGAATAGTTTAAAAATTTTGAAACTATATATTTTTGTGATTTTTTTTTATGTACAACGCACAATTTGCGGCATAAGTACTTTGTTTTTAAAATATTTATTACATTACACATTAACAGCACGTTTACATATTTATAACCATTTCTATTATATATTTTGTACTTCACTGCACTGCTGCGCACATACACACATACACACATACAAATATACAAAACGAACAAATATAAAAAGTGAATTGTATACATATTATGAATGATATTTTGTAAAACTGTTACATTTATTTATTTCTTAAGCAAATTATTATCTATATTTTAATTAAGTAAAATATATTTGTATTTGTATACATACAAACATACATGAATTACAATAATAAAATATACAATTTTTGCATTTGAAAAATTAAAAAAATTGAATGAAATTCATTCAAAGAATAAGTAACAAGCAAGAAAGTGCTAAAGTCAGGTCGAATTAATCAGTAAGTACTGATGCTGCTGAAATTTGTAGAAATTAAAGTTGTCTAAAATGTTTATAAAAGAAAATTTTATATACCAAATCTGGTACACATCGGTGCAATAGTTTACGATATATGATATTTCATATGAAAGAGGGCGTAACACGCCCATAGTACAATTTGCGAACTCATTCGTATACGAGGTGTGTTCAAAAGAATAGGATATATTTGAAAAGTACTTCTTTATTCATCAATATCTATTTTGTCCCCTTCAAAGTAGTCCTTCTCGGATCACAATACACTTGTGCCAACGATTTTTCCAATCCTCGAAGCACTTCTTAAATGTACTTTTCGGTATGACCATCAGCTCTTTCGTCGATTCTGACTTGATCTCATTAATTGTGGCAAAACGCTTTCTTTTCATTGGTTTCTTCAGTTTTAGAAATAGGAAAAAGTCGCAGGGAGCCAAATCTGATAAATATGGTGGTTGAGGCATGATTACGGTTTTGTTTTTTGGTCAAAAATATCACGAATAAGCATTGATATGTGAGCTGGCAATTTCGGAACAAACTTCGCTGTCCCATGTTTTATGCCCAAAACATTCGAGAAAATTGAATGGCATAAGCCGATTGATATGGCAAAATCCTCTGCAACTTCCCTAATAGTGATTCGACGAGATTCGATAATAATTTTTTCACTGTTTCGATGTTTTCTTCGTTTGTTGACGTGATCGCACCTCCAGGATGTTCATCGCCTTGAGCACTTTATTCCACTTTTAACGCAAAGTTTAATACGTATTTTTTGATCCATTTCTTTCAAAAAACAAAAAAAAAAAAAGAGTAATCGAAATTGGCTCCTAGCACATGATAAACAAATGTGTCCGATTATAACAAAAACAAAATATCGATAATTGTATGTACACAGCTTGTGAAAAATCAAAATTCACCTTTACCTTTGAACACAGCTCGTATACCGAGCGTCCACTTTGTTTTAATTCTGTTTCTTTAGAAAAAAACTGAAACCAAACATTCCCTTCTCTGATGAGAAGTTTGAGATAGAGAGGTATTTAGATTCTTCATTCTGACCATTTTAAGATATATGACCATCTCTCTTGTTTTATGCTATTATAAATAAAAGTGAGATATGCGCAACATATTGCTGGATAATGAAAATTATGAGTAAATCACAATTATTTATGGTGAGAGCTTTTTATTATGGTATTCTTCAAATGAAGGCTTTGGCAAAGTCTAAGCTGTCATCGAGCTGCTGATACAAGTTGGATAATATTTTCCTAATATCAGTTAGTAAAGTTAAAAACTTACTAGTCGTGAAATACTATTACTACAAGTTTAGACATGTCTTTAGTCGGCCAATGAACCCGCAGCTCAACAAGAAGTAACATAGTCACGCACTGACTGTCGTTGTAGCCTTAAATAAAAAGTCTCTACTTTAATAATGATATTCTAAAACTAACTCAACTTATTCACCCTTGCCTTGGTCAGCTTCGTATTTAATTTATTGTCGTCTCACACGCTTAAGCGCTCTCATTAGAATTCAATTGGAAATGTCAACCGGATGTGCGGCGTTTTGTTTAAGCACATAAACGCAATAAACGTAAACGAATTAAATAATTACAAAAGATTTGTGTGGTGAACAAATACAAAAACAATAAGTAAAAATAATATATTAACGGTATACCAGGCGTATTTTGGTCGTTAAATGCAAAGCGCGACGATTTGTTTCTATTTATAGTACCCAACACATACTACATACATTCAAATGTGCCTACTAAGTACTAACGTGTGAGTAAGTGTGGCATAACTCTCTTTCGAAAGGTGTTAACAGTGGGCGTTTGCGCCGTTTAAATTAATTAAAATACCTTCGACTTATTTTGCTTGCTGCCTGTTATTACAGCCGATAGTACGAATCGACCATAGGGCGCAAATTATATCTTTGATCGTGATGATCGGATCTGTAGAAAAAATTGATCAATTTTTCAAGATTATGAGTTTGAAGACAATAGTAAATTCAGAGCTAGAACAGTGGACTTACAAATAGAAATTTTATATCGCCTTGTCCTCGTTTGAGCACCATATACTCTAGGCTCGTGCCGTAATCGAAATATGAAAGAGGAATTTCTAGTAAGATTACCTTAAAGTTAGAACAGTGCAGTTCTGAATATTGAAATCGCTCTTCATTATTAGAGCAATAAAGTGGAATTGAGTATCTCTTCGTGTTTGTTTCCTAACAAATAATTATGTTATTAAACGAGGGTTGCTTTTTATATTTCGGGATAAGAGAACAAAAACCAACATTAATCATCGAAAATCGCTCTATTGCTTTTCAAAATACACTCCATTTAGATCTTTACACTTTTTGCATGCTTTTGAACCAGTTGTCGAAGCACTTTTGCCACTATGATTGAGGTATCTACAAAACATGCGTTCTGAACGCAACAACCACCTGTTTAGGTGTCGAAAAACTTAGAGCCCTTAGTTTATTTTTCACGTATGGGAATAAAAGAAGTCGTTTCGTGCCAAGTCAAAACTATACGATGGATGACTCTTTAAATTGATGTTTTGAGTGCTAAAAAATAAAGTTGTTACAGTCGTGGTGAAGAGTGATTCGTCTTCGGCGGTCGGTTTTACTGATTTCTGGAAAGGCAACATGTCCAGTTTTTCCAAACAAAACAGGCAACTATTTGCTTGAAAATGCTACGTGCACCAAAAACTTGCGTTGGATTCGGCTCATCTTAAAATACCCATACAGTCGGCTTCTGTTTACTTTCGGCACAATCGACACGCGTTCGTTTGTGAGCGATTGATAAATTGTGGGGTGAACAATATGTGGGGTGGGGCAATATGAACAAACTTTTTTTACAGTCAAATATGTATGCAATTTATGCTGGTTCCACTAATGTTTATAGTGGTCTCAATCTCACGTTGGATTACATGACGATCTTGCAGAGTTAATCAACGTAGAAATTTGTAAAAATTAATTGTGTGAAAATGTTCGCAATTTATTTCCATTTTTTGGCCGAGATGAATATTTTAAGTTACTGTAAACAACACACTAGGGTTGCCAAGTCCTAAAATATAAAAGGCAACCTACGTAATGGAACTTAAACTTATTTTAAGAATTAACAAAGGATAGTAATTGTCGAACACTTTGATTCGAATATAT